ACTTGAAGTAACTGAGTTACTTTTGATAGAAGTAACTAGTAATGTAACTAAGTTACTAATTTAAAGTAACTTACCCAACACTGGTATGGGGTGGCCAGTTATACAAATTTAATTTTTGATCAAAACAAGATGGTCAAGATTAGATTTTTCACAATGTTTGTCTCACTTTGTCTTCTTTTATAAATCCAGTGTACTTTTTTTCCTCATGATGGGATCTATTATACTTTTCCTTAATGGTGGATGTTTACATAAAACAAGGAATATGTTTCAAAATGTGAGGTCAGCATATGTGCATATAACGCCTCTTAGCTAAATGCTCAGGTGCTCTAAAGTGAGCCACACATGTCTGGCTGTGAGTAGCCCTACCTACTGTTAAATAACACTCTGTGTTTTAAAACAGAAAATTGTGTTCAAGGGAGGGTAAAAGTGGCTAAAAATGTTTTATAGAATGTGGATAAACTGAAGAGCTACACTACAGCCCAGTGTAAGATAAAATACAATTATTTTAAACTATAAGTCAAACAAAGCTATTTTTGAGACCAAGACCACATGCATGGAGCTGGAAATGAGCATAACACATCTCCTTTAAAGCAGAAAACCTTATTGTCATCACATACCAGTTGGGGCACATTTAGTTCAGTTGGCATTTATTATAATCTCAATTTTAACCAAAATAATTGCATACAGATATTTTATCATAAATGAGCAGGACAAATTGTCAGAAGGCTGAATACGATCTTACCTGGACAGGTGCAATTACAGCACAGGGCCCTCCTTCAAACTGCTCCAGTGCTGTGAGCTCACTTTCACTAAAAACAAATCCTGTGATAAACAGCAAAAAGATTTTGTGTCAATAACAACTTACAAAAACAAAACAAACAAATGGATATCCAGCTGAAGATCTGAGGGCCACAGACAAAATCAGGGCGTAAACCTCAAACGGGAGGTAAGTATTTATACTTTCATTTTCAGTATTTTACATTTTAACTTTGTTTCAGCTAGAATTTCAAACAAAATCACTGCTTCCTGTCTTTTGGTCTTAAAGTCTGGATACAGTGGATTATTGCTTCATACCCCTTTTGGGGGAAATTAGTTTAAACTCTTATCAACATACTGAGAAAAAGTATCATACCTTGGGCCCATCTGCGGAAAATGGAGACAGACACTCCACTGGAGGGTCTCCCCCAAACCAAATCCACCACATCTTTATTTAACTCTGACATGTTAGCTTTCAGTGTTGGATGATCCAAAGTCAGTCCCTCTTCAGTCCAACAGCCAGGTGGAGAAAAGATAGGTCTGTTTACACCAACTTGCTTTTTCCTCTTGCTGCTGACAGTTTACTTTTCCGGGCAGGTCGAAACCTGTGGCATTGGCCACAAGCTGCCTGTACACGACAGCCTGACTACAAGTACTGACAGCACACTGGCGGGTAGGAATGACATCAACGTAACCACAGAAACCTACCAAGTAATAGAAAAAAAAAAGAAAAAAAAAAGTTACATTTCACTGTGTGTTATACTTGTATAACTATGCATGTGACAAATAAAGAACCTTGAACCTTGAAAAAAAAGACACCGTGCAGTTTATGAGAAAAACACATATTCATGTTTCGGTCTGTGGCGGAAAATGTCCATTAGGAATGGCAGATTACTTTCATATCCTCGATGAAGACCAACTAGTTTTTTACTTTGGTAAATGAATACTAATTTATACTTCCCGGGGTTATAAACCAGCTAAACATCTGCCAGTTACTTAACGGCAATTTAAGAATCGTTTATTAAAAACGGATAACTAGATAACAATTTTCTTGTTTTTGGCGACGTTGTTACCTTGCAAGACATTTAAGAAAATAATGCACCAAATTTTGATCTTAAGAACCGAGTTAGTTTGGTAATGTCAACAGTTAGCATTAGCATCACTACTAGCAGCTAATTTTCATTGCTTTGTCACTCATTTACTTTGCACATTAAAACGACGGCTAGAATCGTTACATGAACTCGTAGGTTTTCGTTAGCTTTATATTAGAGGCCTTAATTACCTTAATACACAGTCCGGTAATGGTATCCTGTATTGATGAAATTTTCTGGTAGCAATTTCACCGTCAACCGCGTCTCTGTCATTCGTTTATTTACAACGGAATTGTGTGGGGAAAAGAGAAGAGCGTACAATTGACGTATTTGCCCATTGGTTGAAATCCAGAAAGTTCCAGATGCGTCAAGGGCTGCGGCGTCAGCGCGTCGCCTCAATAGTCTAGAGACTTGTCAATCATATTAAAGAACCCCGCCCATAAATGGAAAGTGGTTTAACCGAACTAAAGCTCTCCTTAGCAACTTGGAGAAAAAAAATCATTATTAAAGTCTCGGAAATCGTCTCAATTAAATATTTTTTAAATAAACGGGCTCATACCAACAGGCATATAAAATATCCTCGTTCAGCGTTTCATTTTACCAGCTTTAGTCAGGACCTTTGCTTTTTTGGCCGCTACCCCTCTCCGTAGGAGCAATAGAGTCACCATCCGGCGCATGTGCACTGTATACTTTAAGCTAACTTTAACTTACTGTCCACGCGTGTTTAGAGTCTCACTTTGGGAAAAGTGGGGTTTGAGCCCTGGGATTTTAGAAATATACGACGCGTTTTTCTTCAGAATGGGTGGTCAAGCTAAGGGAAAAAAGAAAAATAAACCGAAGAGGAAAGATAACCGTCCAAACAGGGGTGAGTTCACTGGTTTATCATTTTATTTACTGTGTATAACGTCAAATTCGTACACACGTTTATAGAAAGGAAGAACTGTTATGTTTTGTTTTGAGTGCAGCTCTAATAAGAACTATTGTTACACGTGCACTTGTGACATCTCAGCAGATGAAGGATTTGTTGGTTTATCACCTCAAGAAAGGATGAAGGTAAGAATGCAAGAAAAAGCCAAGAAGAAGACAGCGGAGAAGTACTCAGTAGAGCAACTCCTACAGAAGGTAATGTTTACTACATATCCACAACAAAGGCAGGACCCAAATATGTCATTGCCTTAATATCCTTTTATTCTTTAAATTCTAATCAGCTACTGAGCTTTCCTTATGTACTGTGGTGTACAGACTGAAGAATGCATGGACAGTTTTGACTTTGAAATGGCCAGCCTTTTCTGTCGAAGAGCCCTGGATGTGGAGCCCACCAACCTGCAAGTTCTAGACATGCTGGGACACGTTTCCTCTGAATTAGGAGACACACAGAAAGCTAAAGAAATATCCTTTCTCGCTGCTTGTGTCCATAATTTTGTAATTTCACTACACTGTTGTGATAATTTCATTCTACTCTAATGCAGTGATTGTTGTGGCTTTCTTGACTCCCCTCTCACGTATTTCTACGTGCTGTGGAGCTTAGCCCAGATGTTGGCCACAGTAAGTACATGTACCTGGGACAAATCCACACAGGCCGGGAGGCTGTGGACTACTATACCAAAGGCATACAAGTCTTACTGAATACATTGGAGAAACAAGGAACAACAACAACAGTAAGTGATTACACATAGGACTACCCCTCTCTGTTTCTCTGGTTATGGAAAGTGAACTAGATGTCATGACTTTGTGTTCAAGGCTCCTGATTTTTTTTTCATTTTCACAAGAGGGTGCTATTGGACAATGCATGTCTTAGTGACATGCATTGTTATGACAGATTTATGTCAAACCTATAAGCATCCTGTTGTTTAACTGTTACTGCAGACCTGTATTACTAATTTTAGATATTTACAAAACACTTTACCGACACTACAATGCACTAAAAACTATGAACTGTGAACTCAACTTTGAAACAAAACAAATTTTACACCGAAAATGTGAAAGAGTAAAATGGTAGTTTTGGAAATGGTCAGATGATGGTAGTTTTACAACTTCTGTCTTTTCCCCCCTCAAATATAGTTATTTATTTAAAAAAGAAAATATTGCTTATTAAGTTTTTTGCAAAAGCAAAGATAAAATGTTTTCTCATTTAGAGGACATAATAATGTGCCATGCATTACAATGTTAACATTAAATTAGAACAAATGGAAGGAAAATAGAATAGAAGAATAAGGTTAAAAAGGTTAGGATACATTGTATTAATTGCACATGTATTAATGGTCAATTTTACATTCACTTATTCAATATTGTTGTTGTTTAACTTTGTGACACCATGTTTATTAATATCATTGTGAGGTCTCTTTATTACTCTCATTCAGATGTCTTAAATATATTAGCTAGAAGTGTCACTTCAGTGTCAGTACTCAATAACTGTGACAATGAGTCGACATGAACAGAGCAATGACTCTGAAAGTAAATTGGATAAATTTAATTCACGCAGTTTGCAACTCTGATGTTACTGCTTCCTTCCTGCTGTGACATGTTAATATGATTTCAAAGGAAAAGGCTTATTCAGATGGTGTCCCTTTTTATTCTGATCATTTCAAAAAGAAAACCTGTCCTAGATTCTGTTTCATATAAGTCTCGTTCAGTCTCTTTTGATTTGTAATGAGTAATATGAACTTTAGAAACTAAAGAAGTCTGCCCTTTGATTCATGCAGGCTCTGGCTGGAGCTGCTGCCCCACCAGATGAGGACCCCGAACTCCCCACAGAGAAGGATGTTAGTGTAGCCTACTGCTCCATCGCTGAGATTTACTTAACAGACCTCTGGTACTGGAGCACACATAGTTATGCACTTGACACTGATAGGCCTGCCTTTGGTAATATTTTGAGATTTTCTTTTTCTGTGTGTGTGTGTGTGTGCATGTAGCATGGAGGAGGGGGCTGCCGACAAGTGCAGGGAGTTCATAGAGAAAGCATTACAGTATCGCCATGACAACCCAGAGGCTCTACAGCTTATGGCCAGTTACCTGTTCAGTACAGAGAGAAACCAGGTCAGTCCTCCCTCTCTCTCCTCTCTCTCTCTCTCTCTCTCTCTCTCTCTCACGCACACACACTTGAGATGAGTTATCACCACATTAAAGCGGGAATCTGCTGAGTTAATTATTCTGAGCAAATTGAATCGTATGCGATTAATCAGCAGATGGACAGGTCATGCCGATAGGAATGTTAATTACTGGGCGGATCATTAAGGTCAAGCAGTCATCTGCTAAAAAGAGAAAAGATGAGGGAAAAGCATATTGGACTAAATTTAGAAAACATTCCACAGGACCTTTTGAGTGTAACATTTGACAGTGAGTTTAGAACAATATCCTAAATAAACTTTCTGTATTTTTACATTACATGTATATTTGTGCATGCGGGAGACATTGCTAAATGAAGAGCATCTTAAACCACTGTTAATAGAAGGCATTCAAGGCAAAGGCTTTTTTGAAAGTATTTAAACGTGTTTATTGTTTACTTGAAATGTAATCTAATTGAAATATGGCCTTAAATTACCACGTGGAAGTATTTGTTGGCAGTGCTGTCTGCCTCAATCATCCTCAACATGCACTGATGATACAACGAACAACATTCAGTTCACCTACCACTGTTTTTTGCAAACTATATGTAATGGGCATTTTCAAACCTCTGTACTGTCTCTCCATACTCTCCATGCACTCATATCACCAAACTGAGCAGCGAAGGATCTGTAATACTACCTGTAAGCTGTAGGGGTCAGGCTGGTTCCAGTCTCACTTCACACCTTTCCACATCCTGTGACAAAGTCTCTTTTTCTTTTTAATTTTTTCTAAGAAACAAGAAAAAATAAATTGTTCCCAAATTAATCCAGGGGTTCTTGGTTTCTGTAGAAAATCCAATAGCTAGTCTGTGGAAGTAAATTATACAGTGGGATTAGTCTGTAGGAACTGATTTGTGTGAAGAGTGCATTCTCCAATTACTAACCCTTACTCCTTACTTACTCCTAACCCTTGCATAAGAAATGAAATGCATATTTTTTATAAAGCTTTTTATATTTATATGCTCTTTTTCTGTGTTCAGGAAGGCAAAGATTACCTGTTGAAGAGTGTTGGAATGTGGCTACCTGCGCTAAAACGGAGAGCAGCTTCGTCCAGCGCAGGGGAAGACATTCAGGTAGGCTGTAGCTGTGGGCTGGTATTTGTCTCACTTCCACCAGCCCCAGTAAGATCCCGGTTTAGTTATAAAGCCCCTTTAACTAACAAGATTTTCACAGCATGCTATGCTTTATGCGCAAATATAAGGACAGCTGTACAGATTAAAAACAAAGTAAGCGATAAAGAGGGAATGATAGAAGATGAAAGGTGGAGCACAGACTTCACAAGCCTGTATGTATTTGTGTTAGAGTGCACAGAGAGAAAGCAAATAATAAATTCAACACCAGGAAGGGTTTTAAAGTATAAACAAGCAAAGTACAACGTGGAAATTGATAAAGGAAAAATGGCTATAATGTCAAAGCTGGATGGGCTTTGAATAGCTCAAAATAAATTGCAGATTCAAATAATAAAAAAAGTGATGTAAGAGGGTTTGGTGTGATGATTTGATACAATAATCCCAGTGACACCACTCTTATGACTCTTATCTTCGGGAGCAGGTTGATGTGAACACAGCCTGCTGACACTTTGGCTGTGATTAACAGCCACATAGCTGAAAAACGTTTTGTACCTTGAAATTGGATTGTGTTATTATCAGACAAAGGAAGAACTATGTTTGTGGATGCCTGTGAAAGCACTTACTGCAGAGGTGGTTGTATTGTCCTTTTTTTTTGTCTTCTTTCTTTCTCTCCTTCAGAATGAGATCCCTCCGTATGAGTCTCGCATCACCACAGCCAAACTGCTCATTGAGTCAGAGGAGTACGAGGTAAAATGTTTGCTGTGTCGTGCTCGTACACTCCCTTGTTGTTGTTGGTCTGTGTTTGTTTCGTGGTGGGAGGGCAGCCTGGCATTTTTTGCGTGTGCGCACATCTGTGTGTTTGTATGCTTTCCTTTCTGGTGAATAGCACTGAAGGTGGGAAGGCCATGCCTGGTCTTTATCCCCTCTGGAGTTTAGTGTCAATAATTGAAGAGTGGTATTTACAAAAAGGGATAGGGCTAAGGGGGGCACACAAGGGTGGAGGGATTGGGAGGAAGAGTAAAATAAAAAAAAAAAAAAAAAAATTGAAGCTGTGGTCTGATGAATTGCGGCCATATCTCGAAACAGCATACTTCTCTACTAAATCACTCAGGAATTTCTGGTATTAATGGCCTTGATTTCAGTGGCTCACTGCCTTCAGTTCAGTGCTAAATCTCCTAACGCTGTCATTAACGCTTGAAGTCATTTTCGGTGATTACCGCCACACCAACAGCAGTTTAGCTACTTTCTATTGTGATCCAATGATTAATTTTCAGTCACTCTTGTTGGGTGGTTTATGGTTATTACTTACGGGAAATGAGAACAGTGTCCTTTCCCCCCCCTTTTTTTTTTCTCCTCTTCCCCCTCCTCACACCCAAATAGCTCAGCTGCAGTTATATCTTTGGGTGCATGTGTGCGGGAGATGGGCTGTCAGGTGTATCAGTAAAATGACAACGTCTCGGTCCACAGTTTCTGACATGTCGTTTGTCTTCATCCTGCTGTTGGTGTCATGAAACCCGAACCACAAACCGCACCCATTCCTACTGCTTTATAACGTCAAATATTTTGCCATGTGCTCAAGTATGTGTACACACACACACACACACACACGCACGCACACACACACGCACGTGAAGGGCTATTTGGAGTTTCTGGCAATTGCATTTAAGGGTGAAAGTAGAGTAAAGGCAAACAATTTTCTGTCTGTCTCTCCCAGCCTGGGATTTGGGACTTGGATTTGATAGGATCCTCTCAGCTCTTTGCTTCCGGTACTTCTCTGTCACACATACTCACACACACATTCTCTCACTTTCACATTTAGCATCTCTCACTTAGAAGGATCTATGCACAGTTTTATGCTCTTTGTAAACTTTGCGTAAAGTTGTTTACTTCCAGTAGAGTTATTAGTTGGAAGGCTGTCTTTCGAAAATGGTGCCAGAATATAACCAATTGTCTCTTTCTCCCCATTGAATAATTTGTTTGGTCCCCAAAGCTGGGCCAAGGCTTTGAAATTTGCATTAATATATTTGCCAAAAAATAACCCCAAGCATATTAAAGAATTTTTGTTTGTTTGTTTGTTTTCTGTAACTGCATACAGCAACGTCTTGTAAATAAATGTTAATTTTAGAATGGCACAAGGTGTAGCGGTACTACCATGTTCTTTGGCAGAAACTTCATCTCATGGTCTTTGTCTGTACTTTTGTGTTATGTGGATTGAATTCAAATTAACTAGGCCACAATAAGGCAGTGTTAGTGTGGTTATTATAGTGCATAGTGGTGGGAGATAGAAGTTTACTCAAAGTCTCCACTCTTCCCCAGAAGTCTCCACTGTCTGGTCTTATTTTCCACCCCACAAATTCAGATCAGCACCAAAATTGAGCGGGTTCTTTCTTTGCCTTATGCTCTATCTCCCTCCACCAATTCTCATCAAAATGAGAAAGATTTTGCTGAAAAACACTGGGAAGATGTTTTCAAGACAAACTGTCTTTAGTGGGTAGACACTGTCACATCTCTTGGGCACTTTACTAGGTCATAGACCCGTCTCCCCACCGTCTTAAAACTCAAGGTTTCTTATGAGGGTAGGTGGTTGTCAAACTCAGAGCATGTGCAAATATTACAGTTTCTTTATTTTTAAAATACATAGTTATCTTTTATAATAAAAATTTTGTCAAGACTGTGGCTTTCAGTTCTTTTTTGGAGGAAATCTTTAAAAATAAAAAACCTTTGCCACGTGAAAAGCTGAATGTGATAGTAAATTTGACTGAGAAAGGGATAAGAGCATGAAAACCATGACATAGGCTGGTTGTACTTGTGCTCCATTGTGCGATTGTCTTGTTTACTTTAAAAAATGTGATAGAAAACATACCAAACACACCGTGTTAATAAATTCATGAAAACATCAGTTTCACAATTGCTGCTCTTCTCTTCAGTCAACTGTTTCTGCAAAACATGGATCTGTGCCACTTAAATTAGAAGAGGAGAAAAAAGTCACCAAAAAGGCTTTTGCGAGTCTTTTTTTCCTCCCTCTTTTGATTAGTTGAATAACTGCCAAGTTTGTTTGTGATTTCCAGAATGGAAATAGATTAAGAGCGCACGAGGGTGCTTGAAAGCAAAAGAAGTGAGAAGTTTTATTGTCAAATATCCCCATATTTGTGAGAGCGCTTGCAGTGCTTAAACAGGTTTGTTATTGGTTTGATTGATGGAAAATTAATTAGGTTTTCATTTGGTTTTTGTCATTTGTCTTCATTAATGTTTGGTTCCAGCGTTTAATATGGGATACTTTGCTGCTGTTAAAAATCTTTAATCTGAATATATCTGATATTTTCAAGCAGTTTGAAGACCATGTTTTCTGATGTTTTATAGAATAAACTCTAAACAGTTTAATGCAATCAGTGTGGAGATGATTGGTTGCTTACTTGTTTGTTTATCAAGCAAAAATACCAACTATTACAGTATATGGTGCCCATCTTTTCCAATATGAGGGTCTCTGTAGTATATGGTAGGAAATATCATTAAAATAGTCACATCAGTCTTCAAGTTTGTTGACCTTTGAATGGGAGTGGGGGCATCAGTGATTTATAGGAATTATGTTAATATATATATATATATTATTTACATACATAATTTATTTTGCTTTATTCTTCTATGGCATAGTTTGCACAAGGTGCTGCAAACATTTTAGACCAGACATCTCTGAATCTGCTGTTCCATCCCACAGGTGCTCTGTTGGATTGAGAGCTGTTGACTGTGGAGGCCATTTGAATGTATTGCCATGTTCAACAAACCACTGGGGTACACCGTGTTGTTCACATAAAGGAATTTACATGGTCACTAACAATACTTGGGTAGGCTATGATATTTAAATGAGGCTCAGGGGCCCAAGGCATATCAAGAAAATATCTCCCACACAATACACCACCACTTATCTTAGCATATCTTATCTTCTCATCAGACCAGGCTGTGTTTTTTCCAATCCTGGGTTGTTCAGTTTTGATGAGACTATGCACATTTTCCGTTTCCTGTTCTTAACTGACAGGAGAGACACCAGGCCTGGCCTTCTGTTTCTCTTCTGCATACTTTGGGTGTCATAAGTGGTTGTTTGAGTTACTGTTGTCTTTTTATTAGCTTGAGGCAGTTTGACTATTCTCTTCTGATGTCTGATATCTCATCAACAAGGCATTTTCTCCCAAAGAACTGCCACTCACTGGATATTTTCCTTTATCGGAGCATTGTCTGTAGCCTAGACACATTTGTGTAGGAAAATCCTAGTAGTTCAGCAGTTTGTAAAAAATACTTCTGGCACCAACAACCAAACATTACAAGTCACTTAAATCACCTTTCTTTTCCATTCTGATGCACAGTCTGTAGCCTCAATGCATATCATTGGCTGATTAGATATTTGCATTAACTAGCAGTTTGAACAGGTGTGCTTAATAAAGTGGCTAGTCAATGATGTATTTTATAGTCTTGATTTAAAAAATCAAAAATCAGCGTGGTGACAGCGTTTTCCCTACTGTAACACGCGCACAAACATTACCGTGATCACCCATCACAACCACTGATTCACTTGCCACACAGCAGACAGACAGACAGGCACCCTCCCCTGACAGCCATTCAAGTGTCTCTTAGCTGAGGCGTCACAGAAGCTGATGGGTAGTTACGCACCTTGTCATTGTCACTCTTCTTTGGCTGTATTTTATTTATTGAATGTTTCTGTTCTTATATTTATTTCACAATGTACAGCTTGTACTTTCCTATATTGCTTGCAAGTACAGTTAGCAGTGACATCCCCAGGATTTATTTACTTAAGTCTCAATGCCCCTGTTTACGTGCGTGTGCGTGCATGTGTGTGAGATATAGCTTGCCCTTGCTTGTAAAGTGATTTGTCTTTCTCCTGTCTCTGCTGTGCGCTCCAGTAAAATGATTCTGTTAAACAAAATTGCCTGAAGATTACACAAATGCAGAAATGGATACATGAGCGCGCACACACACACACACACACACACACACACACACACACACACACACACACACACACACACACACACACACACACACACTGTGCACATGCCCACGATGGACATTATAAATGAGTTCCTCCACAGAATGCAGGGGTTTTTTTTCTTTTGGTTCCTTCAACAGTCCTTAAAATAAGGAGGACAACATGTATGTATCATCTTGCATGTGTTATTGGTTGTGTGTCTCTGTAGCGCACTGTTGTTTTTCTTGAACCACTTTTGCAATGTTTATTAAGATCTTTTTTTTTTTTTTTTTTTAACCTCTCGTCCAATTTTCTGCCTCCCCCCCATCCTCCTTCGTAGTACAGCCTCTTTTTCTCCTTATCTTCATGGGAATATTAATCTTGTTGTTGTTTAGAGCATGAAGCGGCCTAAGAATCTCTGAATCTTTAATTACTCGCCCCTGGGCTGACCGGTGTAGTTAGGAAGATGTGCAGTTGGAGACGATATAATGGTTATCATTGCTCACTTATCCTGGCTCCCAGATATCTCTTGTTCTATTTTTGTAGCTCCAAAACTGCCTGTTCTATCACTTGTTTAATACCCAAGCAGATCTTTTCTCCTATCTTTTATATCTAGTGCTTGGCTCGATTTACTGTGTTTGAATGTGTGTGTGTGTGTGTGTGTGTGTGTGTGTGTGTGTGTGTGTGTGTGTGTGTGTGCAGCTTGTGTGTGTGTGTGCAGCTTGTGTGTCTGTCACTTTGTAGTGATACAGTGAAAGTAGATAGTAGATCATTCTGAAGCTGGACATGAATCCATTCATCATCGGCTGGGATTAGATGTTTTTGTTTGTGTATTTTTAATCAGTCATTAATTAATTAAGGACAATGGTATTTCAGCTGATAATTGGTCTGGCAATCAATCAACTGACTCCCTGACATGCATATTTGCACAATCTTAATGAGATACTCTCAATTAACCTGACACCCCTTACTCTATGCAGCCAACAGACCTCTTTATCGCCACCGGAACCGCATAGATTTAATGAAAAGAGCAGAGAACTCCAACGAGCAGGAGGGGGGGGGGAATTAGGAAGCTCTCCAGCTAATAAGACTCCCTTAACAAGAAACAAGTGCTGCTAGTTGTGCTCATTGTTGTGTGCAGGCTTTTTTGTAGTGCGTGACTGTAAAGTGGTGTGTGTGTGAATGCACAGGTCCGTGCGTGTCTTTTATTCTTGCCCTTCACCACGGGTGATTGGCTAACAGTCGCCTCCAACCTGAAGTAGACAAAAATCAATATATCATCACCTGGGGCCTCACACACAAACACATGCACACAAATATACCACAACCACAGGTTCCACAAGGAGGGAGACAGAGCAAAACAAACACCCAGCCTACTTTAGTCAAGGTCTGATTTCTGTAATGGAAACTTCCCACAGAAACTGACCCAGACAGTGCTGTGACAAAGGTCACCTAACATTAAACCCCTTTGAGACCTCACATCGCCTCCACAGGACACTACAGGGAGGAAATCAGACAAATGCTTTAGAGGAAGGGGAATACGGGCTCTGGGTCTGGTTGGTCTTTAGGTTTATCGTGTATCCTAAGGAGTGGAGGGGGCTACTATGAATATATGGTATTGACTGCTCTGGTCTTTCCCTGCTGCTCATCTCCAATAAAGACAAAATGCTGGGAAAAAAGGCAATGGTAGACGGTGGCTAAAGTGACTATCGACTGTGTGATAAGTACTTGTAAGTGTATCTATTGACGATCATGTCTGTTGTCTTGTTGGTATTGACGGTGCTGTGTATGGGTTGCTGACCTGTTCGATGCTTATCAGACCCTCTGATCCATTTGATTGATTGGGCTGACTGGAAGATGTGCTAGATTGTGTGCAACAATATTGTCTTTACCTTTATGCATGTTGGTTTGTCAGTCAAACCTGAGAATAGAGGGAGTACTGATGAATTTCTACAGACAAAAATGAGTGTAGTATGATTGTTGTTCGTAATTTTAATACATTAATACAAAAATGGTAACTATCTGTTTGTCTCTCTTTAAATTAGATGGCAGTAGATGTGTTGGAGAGTCTGCTAGAAGAGGATGACGAAGTTGTCCAGGTAAGCGATGAAGTCCTGTTCCGGCTGTTGTAATTTAAGGTCTTTTTTTTTTTTTATTCTACTTTTCATCGTAATTATTTCTCTCTCTGAACTTGAAAATGTAGCGTTTTGCTTAAATGCATGTTTTCTCTTTTGTTATGGGGTCTTTCAAACCGGTCGTGGCAGATAGCTGCCCCTCCCTTAACCTGGTTCTGCAGGATGTTTTTTCCTGATAAAAGGGAGTTTTTCCTTCCTACTGTCGCCAAAGCGCTTTTGGCATTATATAAATACAACTGATTTGAATAGGAAGTTGTTGTGAGCACATTTTTCTTGTTTCCAGGTTGCTTACCAGCTTTGGTTGTAGAAAGGATAACATTACCACAGATTTTTAGGCAGGATTAACTTCATAAGCTACCAACCTGTTGGAGGTGTGATCAAAAAGTAGCACAAAAACTTGCCTGATTTAAAATGTGCCTTAAATGTAAGACTAGCCAATCTTCATGGTTATGTCAAGACAGCTTCTAGAATGGTTATTAATTTTAGATCAAGTCCTGTTCTGAGCTGTTACTCTGTGATTTCAGCTTCTGCAAACAGCAAAATTCAGTTGCAAACAGCTTCAGATTTTTTTTGTTATACCTTTTGTGTACCTATGTACAAACTTGCAAACAGCAGAAACAGTGTTGTATGGATCAAAGTGTGGATGTGATTGATACATCTGTAAGTAATCCTGCAGAGACAACTGAACTCACATATTCGCTCGAATGTCTTTTAAAATTGGCAGATGTGAAAAACTTGATTTCAGTTTGACCAGGGAATACAACCAAAAATACCTACCATTCTACTATTTACCTGTCATAATACTGGTGCCAGGCAAAGTGGGGAAAGAAAGCAGCTGAGTCTGAATTTCAGGGTAGTCTGTCCAGACTAACTTTGGCGATTCTTAATCTTAATCCTGAGTTGCCCATTTTAAAACTTTTTTTTTTTTTATATATTTTGTTTCCAATGAGCCAAACTCTTGGTAAATTTTTTTTAACATGGTCTAGAGCAATAGTTCTCCAGGCTTTCTTGTGCTCTCTCAAAATTGTTCTTTGGAGATTGGCTACTTTTTCACTCATTTTCATTTGTTACACCACTTATGAATCATCAAGCATAAAAAAGCCCCTTTACTCAAGGAAAGATCCAGTGTTGTGTATACATATAACAGACAACTTGGCAAACAACCAATTTTAAATTGTTTCCGTAGGCACTTTATTACTAACAGTCTGTCACAAAAACACATAATTTGTTCCCCTTTCTTTTGTCGAATCGATGAAAAATAACAAAGATAACGCAGTTTGACAGGCATAACATACCATTTTTACAACAGCAAGGTGATTCACAAGAGATATTAGCTGAAAAACATTCTCGATATGGTCCGTAGTGTGTCCTTAGAAAAATTAAGGAAGCTGGACAAGTAGAATGCAAAGAAAGACAACAAAAGGACTAAAACAAAAAGTACCTGCAGGAAATGAACAGCGTCTGAAAGTCAAATGATTTAGAAATAAAAAATAAGCAAACATCAAGGACCTGACAAACAAATATTAAAGGTTGCTAAAGGAGGTCATACCAAATATTGACTTTCAAGCTTGTTAGAATTGCGCAAACTCTGTTTTTGCCTTGTATACAGGATTCCCATGTGTGTTTGCATATGTGTCAATAAGTCACTGCACTTGTTACCCATTTTCCTAGCAAATATCTAAAAAATGATTAGTGCTCTCTACTGTATGTGTGCGATAAGATTTGATGTCATTTTTGAGTCCAGTTGATAAGATGTTTATATACAGTCATTGGTCCTCTTGCATACAGTCTTTTTATAATACAGTAGAAACTGCTGGGTAGGTATAAAGCAAAAGCAACTCTTTTTCATTTCAGTGGGAAGGATCATCTCAGTTTATATGCTTAGATAGCATATTAAAAAAATGAATGTAGACTCCAGGTTCGCAAAATGATTGAATTTTGTAAATTTTGGACTTTATGATAAAGCAGTTTGGGCGAGCGTATCTTGTGTTGGCTATAGTAAGAACTTGTCACATTCAGTTTCAAAATGCGAAGAGTGCAATGACCAAAATGCTCACCTCAAGGCTTCAAGACAGAAATACAGTAATCTTTGGATGACGTCATAGCGGTTCACACATCTAGAGCTTAGTTCCTTCTGCTGAGCTCTGTGTACTCCCTGCATTTGCATTGCTTCATCTCAGCACTTATGTGCTCACACATAGAGTCTGGCGCTGAACTTATTAGAGTGAATTGCAGTATTTTTCTGTGCTTTAGTATGAGCTCTGTGCTGTCAGTGTGCTCAAAATCCCCACTGTCGCTGCAATAGAAAGCGAAGGTGTGCCACTAAGTGTCAGACAGAAAAGCACGGTCGTGTCTCTCTCTCTCTTTCCCCCACTCCCCCTCAGGCTCAGCCTCCCACACACCCCTCAGCTGACAGATTGAGAGCAGTCATCAGGGGGCTGAACTTTTAAACTCACTTCAGAGACGCACTGCTGTGACACTCAATTTGAGCATGCCCACAGCCAATCAAATATTGGTACTGTCACCAGTTCTGGTGGTCAGAAAGTGTATCGTCTGATCACAACATGGGTACATTGTTAGAGTCATATCTGTGATGTCAGAAATGTATGACAGACACATTTAAAAGCATTATATTCTCTCTCTCTCCCTTTCTTTCACCTCTTTGTCTTACTTTTTCTCTTATTTCTCTCTTAAGTGCAGCAGATAAGAGGTTAGCGCTCTACTCCTTCTTCTTTCTCTTGCATATCTCAAAGTTGGAACCTTACTTATATAACGTTAAGTCTGCAAAAACAAGTGAGCTACTTTCTTGCAAATCTTGTTTCAAAGGTATTCTGTTGATTCATGATGCTTTTGTTCTTCCTTCAGTAGCACCATATGGAAACTGAGATGTGCCTTCACTTTGAAATTTCAATAGTCCCAGCGATTTGATTGACACACACAAAATGTATTTTATTACGTGTGCCTCGGTCTGGGGTTGGAGTAGGACACAGTGGATTCTCTGAAGTTCTTAATTAGCAAACTTTCACATGTTTTAATTCTGAGTGCAGATGCTCAGGCAGACTATACTACAGACGCAAATATTTCACAGTGGACCATCTGCACAGAATTTCCTAGCATTGTTCTGAGTGTTTAAAGACGGGCTTCTTATTTCTGAAGTTAAAATTTTGAATTTAAGTGACCCAATTACACTGTCTCACTTGAATTTACACATTTTATTCTAACTTCTGCATTCAGGGAAATGTTTTAGTGATAAAAATGTCGTACCGCTGAGCCTGCAACAACACTACATTTCTCCAGTGCTGCTGTTGTTCTGATAAGTATGGCTGCAGGGGGTAGCCTCCCACTCAGCATGCTGAGTGGCAATTCTGAATTCAGTGTGCCATGCCTTGATGTGTTTGTTAGCTAAATGGTTGATTTGGCAGGGGCGCTGGTCCCTACTGCCTCTGCTCTCAGTGAATAATGAATAAAGCTAATATTTGTGTCTTGATGCTTGAAGAACAGTGGGTGGGTGATCTTTGGCCTGTGATGAGAGGCGATCTCACACCTCCAAGTTCACTGAGAGTTGAACGTGAGAGTGTTTAGAGGTAGAGGATGAAGCACAAGTTAGTGTTTGAGATTATGCAGAGGCAAAAATGTGTTATTGTGAAAAAGAAAGAAAATTAGGTGCTTTGGTGTCTTACAGCAAAGTAACTTACAGTTAAAAATATCATTCCCTTTTTGAACTCTGTGGAGCAAATGATCTATTTTAAAAATATTGCTCTAGGTTTTTTGATATATATTCAGCTGAGACGAATCTTAGTGAACTGATTCTAATACTGTGAGTTTGCTAGGTACACCTTTTCAACTGCTCATTAACAGAAATATCTTATCAGCCAGTCATGTGGCCACAGCTTAATGGACATGTAGACACGGTCAAGACATGACCTGCAGTTCTCTGGATGAAAATACCTCGTTCATGCCAGAACTCAGAGGAGAATTGACACACTGCTTCGAGCTGACTGGAAGGGAATAATAACTCAATACCCAGTTATTAATCCAGAGGTATGGAAGAGAACATCCCTGAATGCTCTTCATTGAAGCAGATGGGCTACAGTAGCAGAAGACCACACCAGCTGCTCAGCTAAGAACAGAAACCTGAGGCTACAATTTGCAGCAGCAAAATTGGACAACTGAAGGTTGGAAAAATGTTGCCCGGTCTGATGAGTCTCAATTTGTGCTGTGACCTTTAGATCGAAGGTCAGAATTTGGTGTAAACAACATGAAACCACTGATCCATCCTGCCTGGTATCAACAGTTCAGGCTGCTGGTGAGGGTTTAATGATTTTGGGGTATATTTTCTAGGCACACTTCAGCCCCTTAGTACCAAATGAGTATCTTTTAAATGTCACAGTTTGCTTCCACCAGGATATTGTGGTGTGACGTGAACAGTGACGTACAGTTCGCTGTGCTCCAATTGCCTCCTAAGTCTCCATATCTCAATCCAGTAAACCAGCTTTGGGATGTGGTGGAAAATTAGATTTTCATCATGGACGTGCAGCTGACAAATCTGGAGCAACTGTGTTATCCTATCATGTCGATATGGACCAAAAATCTCTGGAAGAATGTTTCCAGCACGTTTGTTGAATCTGTGCAGCAAAGTTCTGAAGTGGAGTAACATAGTAATAGCAAGGTGTACCTAATAAACTGTCTGGTGTATATGGTACAAAACTCTGATTCATACATGATAAATAATTGTTTTAGCATATTAAGTAATACTTCAAAATGCAGTTTATTGAATCTGGTGTTGTGTCAAAAGATAAAAACATATTTTAAAGCACATATTTGAATATTGTCACATTGATAGTGAGCTAGTAATTCTCTGGTGGGCAAATCAAAAATCCACAATCATATTTATTGGTTTAAAACTGTATGGTATTTAAAAGCTTGACTCAGTAAATGAGTATTGCACAACTGAACAGATGTTTTTCTTCTAAAGCAGACGCAAGTAGTAAGTGGTAGAAAATCCCTCTTTGCAGTTTATGAGCAAGAAAAATACCATGCTGTGAAAACATTTAGACACTTAAAGAAATGAAATGGCATTTATGTTGCATTGTTCTACTCCTATTCACGCCCTTATAAAGGTCTTTATTGAATTTGTACAGTGCTTTGTTTATTATACACCTATGGATGGATGCATTTGGAAGTGTGTGTGGGTGGGTGTGTGGGTGTGGGTGTGTTCTAAGGTGTCGAACCATCAACAGTCTAATTTTTGATAACCTGCTCAACTTCCCAGGTAGGGAGGGGTTTTAACCCCTTAGCAGTCCAATTAGTCCCCTAAACCATCCAATGTACCGTGGGCGGTACGTCCGACTGCTAACAGGTTAATAAGCCACATGACTGTGACTTATTCACGACTACAAATGTTTTTTGTTTATCAGTTCACTTCATTTAGTGGCTCTTCATGTATTCCCAATGTGTAGGTGATGCATCTCAGTTTGTTTGACTAGTGTGATGATCGTATACTGAGCCAAGTGAAAGGGATGGGGCCATTCAGTTGGCAGCTAGATTACCTGGTTAATTCTAAGAAGGTATTTGGATGTGGTAGCCTAATAACAGCCTGTGCTAAAGAACAGCTTATCTATGATTTAGATGCATTAGAGCTGTTGTTTATCTGTGACATCAGGATTTATTCTGTCTCAGAATAAACCTTTAGGATGTGATTGCATGCTTAGGCTCAAAAAGCCTCGACACAGTAAAGGCAGGGAGTCGGTGTTACTTTATTTGAGGGAAATCTGTGTATATTCTTGCTTTTCTGAGCATTTGATAAACAGAAACATCTATGATGTTTGTGTAAATGATACCCTAATCATCACAACTTCTAAACTAGCAATTATAGTTATTCCTAGGGATTTCTTTTCTTCCTTTCAGTATTGTCACTTACAAAAATCAACAGATTGTAGAACGTCCTGCTTTGTGAAATATCATGCAGTCACAGATAGAGTCTAAAGTGTTGAGACTCCTTGCTCTTATTTTAGTGTGATAGTTCTTGGAGTCTTGCTATATGTTTGGGATCACAAAAACATACTTGTGAGGAATAATAAGGTACAACACTCGAATTATTTGTGGAATCAAACCATATTAAAACCATCATTTAATGTAATGGCTAGTGCAAAACTGCCAACAGTCTAAATTGTGAATATGATATGAATTTAAAGGCCCAGATGTTATTTTCCTGAGGCAATTCATTTTTTCATTATGTTATATTATGTTACAGTTGAGTATTTATTTTACTAATTGCATCTTTTGCTACAGAGAGGGGGAAAACAAACTGAAAATTGTGAAAACAAGAATTTTGAAGTTAATGGGAAGCTACACTTATGGGCTATCATTTGTAAATGAGTACATTATGTCATGATTTTGTCAGGGTGAATTATTATGTGAGTGACTGATTGCCTGTGCGTGTCTGAGACTGTGTATTTCTGGTTCCATGTAAAATGTGCGAAACCCGTTTGTCAAAGACGGATGTTGGATTTCATTCTCTCTGAGGGTCAGAAAATGTTTTCCCCTTGTCGTAACTGACTGTCACTCTAAATCTTTGCACCTCACAACACATAAACTGTCTGTGTCGCTTTGCCTCGCAGGTGTGGTATCTCTCTGGCTGGGTGTGCTACCTCCAGTTGGAAAAGGCAAAGGAGCAGCAGGAGAGGGAAGGAAGAGAAGCAACAGAAGAGGAAAAGGAGGAGGGGACGGCATTGAAGGAAGCTGCCAGATCATACTTGACTAATGCTAAGAAGGTAGTCCAGTCATAATGACCTCATATATATGTTTCTAAGCTAAAAAGCTGGGGTGTAGTGGAAAGAGTGAATAAAAACTGAAAGCTGTCATTTGAAATTATCCAAACCCTTTTATTAAACTTCGTACACAAAGTTAATAAAAGGTTAAGATGACTCCTTTAATGATGCACTGATGACATGTGTTCACTGGCAGTGGTTTTTGGAAGTGTCCCTGAGTCTATGCAGTGTTTTTCATTACACGGTCGCATCTGTTTTTAATGCAGTACTGACTAAAGGTCTGAAGAGCAAGGCAACTCGGCACTGATTTTTAGCCTTGTCCCTTGCTTAGAAAGATTCCTTCAGATTCTCTGCATAATTTAATGTTATGTTGCGTAGATGATGAAATCCACCATTTTTTTTTTTCAAGCACTGTTCCTAAACTTTTGAATCATTTGTTCAACCAGAGTTGTAAAGAACTCCAAACCCACCTTAGAATCTGCTTGGAATACCACATAACTTAAATTAAGACGTGTTCAAGCAGGTTTAAACATTTGTTGAAAGTCTGTGTGCTACAATTATTCAGCTATTTGATGATGCAAGTCATTTTTTTAAATGTGCATTTTACATAAAAGCAAACAGGGTTGTAATATGAGCCATTAAATCTAAAGCTCAGTATAGCTGTCAATTATCTGTGATCTCAAAATAAATGATTCTTTGACACTGCACTGCCATTGTAACACATGTGTGTGTACTTCACTAAAGCATGTCCTTTCAGGACTTTTTTTTTTTTACTTCTAGTACATCGCATTTATCCATCTTAGTTATCAGAATCCCATGGCCAGTGCCTCATTGTCTTTTGGCCGTATACATGCAAAAATGGAACAAAATATGTTATGGTCCCGACTTCTCAATGGTGATTATTTGTCTTACATTACAGTTAACGAAATGTTTTTCTGGTTCGGCAAAAACAAAGAACATGAAGATGCCACTCTGAGGTCTGACTAATTGTGATGAACATTTCTTCCTGTTTTTTCTGTAATTAAAAATAAAATTCTTCCAAATAGATCAAGAACACAATCTTTAGATCAATCTATAATTAACGCATGATTAGCTGCAGACCAATATACAGTTTGTATTTTTATATTCTAGTTATGTGTTTCCTTTCGTAGTTTCTGAGTAGTAATTGTGGGTACAGATGGTTATATCCAGCACACTGTCACAATAGTTAATTCTTCTGAGAGCTGGTTGTCATAGAAAGGGTACATGCAGTACTGCGAATGTGAGAGGATCCTAGCTAAGCTTCATTGTTGCTGCGGAAATGTCTTTGTATAATCTCAAAGAAGTGTAAATATACCCCCTACTCTCTTTCCTATTCCCCCTCACACACACGAGCACACTGTCTAATTCATTCTGTCGTTCTGTCAGGGAGTAATGCCTCTATGGAGCAGTGATTCATGTTAGTCTAAAATCCAATAGGCTTGTAAATCAGACAGCACGGAGTGACGGATGGCAGGCCCCACCTCTGATTTTTCTTTTTTCTTTTTTTCTTCCACTCTTTGCTTTCCTCTCCATTTCACCTCCTCACCCAACTACACACCCCTTTTCCTTCTCTCCTACCCCGCCGTGTTCTTCTAGAGATGAGTAGGGACAGCTTAGTGACAATATATTGACGTCTGTCTCTGTGGCCAGCGGTGTATTGATGGGCCTATCTAACAGGCTTCCACTGGTGATGTCCACAACTGAGATGGGAGCGAGGTGGACTTGGAGCTGCCAAGCGGGAGAATGGAAGAATCTATCAGGATAAAAATAAGTGTGTGCAGTGTGTGAGATTTAATAACTGGGGAGAAAAAATAAAACAATCAGAAAAAAAAAATGGAACTGAGAAATAGGGTCATTTAAGTACTAAGCCGTTCTTTGCATGGACAAAAAAAAGAATGCAAAGGAATAAAAAGGTGAAAGACTGGCAAAGAATTGGGTGAGGCATCGGAGCATGACAAGTAAACAGCAAAGCAGTTTCTTTGTAGAGTGAGCGAAGCAACAGGCGCAGAATAATGTGAAAGGTAAATGCACAAAGACCTTGAAAAGGTGAGATGGAATGTGGAGGGAAAACAGCCCCCTCGTGGTACATTTAATTCCACAGCTTGGTACACAATGTACAGATGTGTGCATTTGTGCATTGTGTAGCCACGATGTGCAAACAAAGCTTGGATATAAAAACATTTTTTTAATATATCCGAGCTTTGTTTCTGAGCATTACTGTGAGTGTTAATAATTAACGATGAGTCAGTCTGCTAGTTAAAATGGTCTCCAACATGGAAATGAGGCCTCAAAGCCCAATGGCTTGTTTTGGCGCCGGTCCACTTCTGTGCATACTTTATGGCTTTGTCTCTGTGTGTGTGCGGCGCGCATGATATACTGAGCATTCAGGCATTCATAGGTGCTCTTGTGTTGATGCATACATTTAATTTAGTTGTGTGTGCCAGCTTGCATGCATATTATTTGTTAAGAAATTGTTTGTCATTCATCTTTTTTCCTGATCGATACTTGTTCACTCTCATATATTCGTATATTCAGCTGTGAGGCTCTACAAAGGAATGATGGGCAAGAATGGATGGGTCAAGAGGACAAATAGGAAGTGTAGGAGGGAGAGCAGGAGTAGAAAAATAAAAAATGGGGGGGTGAGGAGGGAACAGATTGGATGTTGGGTGTGTGTAGGTGCGGGGCGTGTAGCTGGTGAATAGTGGCGAGGGTAAAATCAATAGTAAACCGGACGTGAAATGGAATTTGAGTCTCAGCCAGATAGGGTGCGATTGAAGAAGGATCTGCAGTGTATGCACAGAGGACAATGTTGTGTGTGTGTGTGTGTGTGTGTGTGTGTGTGTGTGTGTGTGTGTGTGTGTGTG